TCTCTCTCTCTCTCTCTCTCTCTCTCTCTCTCTCTCTCTCTCTCTCTCTCTCTCCACCTTGCCTTCGATAAATTGCTGAAACTGACAGAATAACACCCTTATTTGCGCTTTCCAGGTCACCCCTGAGATCCATCGAGAGCTTCTGCACAGCAGAGACAGAGGGCAGCAAGAAGATCCATCGTCGAATGATATCCTTTCAAGTTTTATATGCTTGGAAATGCCTGAAAATGTGAGGGGTAAGGGAGTGGGAAATTTGTCTGTTTCTGATTCGTTGTTGCATATACTATTGAATTCAATCTGTCACTTTTTCACCTTCATGTGTCTAATCAATGACTCTCATGTACTTCGCGTCTCTTCCGCCCCCCCCCCCCCCCCCCCCCCCCCCCCCCCCCCCCCCCCCCCCCCCCCACCCACTTTCTGTCTTTTGCTTGAACCGTCGAACGTACATAGCTGTATATATTTGATGCAATTGGATCGTTGAGTGTGAAATCCACACTTCTGCATGTCCTCAACTACGGCCATATGCAAACATGATGATACCGTCCTGGTGCAAACTTGCAAAGCCATTTGTTGCTTTCCATCGGGAAGACTGCTTTCTGCAGTTCACTCATGCTTGGTTTTGTCCCCACACCAGATGCTCTGCTTTCTCGCATTCATTCACACACTTATTCATTCATTCATTCTCTCTCTCTCCCTCTCTCTCTCTCTCTGTGTGTGTGTGAGTGTGTGTGTGTGTATTTGTGTGTCCTTCTGTGTGTGTGTGTGTGTGTGTGTGTGTGTGTGTGTGTGTGTGTGTGTGTGTGTGTGTGAATGGTTCCACATTTGATGAATGATATTTTCGAGTTTGTTAAGCTCCGAAAGAAAAGGACTTTAGAGGGCTGTTAATATTTTGTTAAAGACCTTGACAAACATGTTATCACGTGCAAGAGCGAGCATCAGGACGGCAGCAATGGATGAGGATGTTCGGGACTTTCCTCCTGTGGACTTCATGGAGGACTATTGACTTCTCATGTATAGATCATCATCATTCATTGGACGGTGTAATCCCCAGTGTACTTGGCCTGCCACGTCAGTGGCGTTTCCTTGCCTGCCTGCCTGCCTGCCTGCTTGCAGGAGGATGCTGAGCTTTGACTAGCAGCCCAGTTGTTGCTGGTGGATATCCTTCTCCTATTGGTGTTGGCAATGCAACCCACGCCTCCCGATTGGCGTTGTATTCTTCTCCGATTGGTGTGTTGTTGCTATTGCCGGTTGCGTCGAGGACGCCGAGGACGCCAAGGACGGCAAGGACCACCTTCGCGACTCTTTAGAGTCTGTACTGTGAAGAAGAAGAAGAGAAGCTGGGGGGGTAGGTGGTGCATTCTGTGGACGGTGATGAGCAATAGGCGGTGCTGTGTGACCGAGGTGAGGGAAGATGGCTGGCACTTGCGCTCACTGAGTGAGTCATGAGGCTTATGACTCCAACACAGAGTAAATTAGTTAAATCTTAGCGTTTAGGCATTCGTACGAGTGCGTGGTTTGTAGGGCGAGGGCTCGCGATACCTAGAAACAGAACCAACAGGTTATAATACCGCTAGATAAATGCATACTCTCACATTGGGTACCGGAGCGGAGTTAAGGCCATATCCGTTCAGAAATGTCCTTGTGTGTGAGTACGTCTGAAGTCTAGCGTTCAAACTTCAAATTGATGGGCTGGGTGTCTTTGTCTGTCAGTGAGCGCAGGCAAAGAACAAATGTGGAGAACAGAGCTTCCAGCATGTGCTTTCCGGCACCCAGATGCACACGAAGCAGAGGAGAGATGGAGAGGGAGGCGGAGGAACCGGGCGGCAAGTGCAGAGTTGAGGGGGTATAAATCGGCGACAGCGCGGGAATAGTCAACGAGTTGGCAGAGATGGAGAGGGAGGCGGAGGAACCGGGCGGCAAATGCAGAGTAGAGGGGGTATAAATCGGCGACAGCGCGGGAATAGTCAATGAGTTGGCAAATGCAGAGTAGAGGGGGTATAAATCGGCGACAGCGCACGGATAGTTCGACGGCATGGCATGCTAGCAAGAGGCAAGAAGGTTAATGAGTTGGCTGGCTCGTTTTTTCCCTTCTGTAATCCATGTCGGCAATGAGAAAAGAGTTCCGCTTGTTCTGTTCATTCAATTGCTTTGTCATCGTGGTTTTGATGCTGCAACAGTTTTTGTTCTTTTACACTCTCCTGAACCTCCTCAACACCTCCCTGCTGCCCCCCACCCCCCCTTCACACTCCTTCGCCGATCGCCTTTTCTCGGCCTTCCATTCCCCTGCCCCCTCTTCTCTCTCTCCTCTTCTCTCCTCTCTTTTTTGGCTCCGAAGCAGCTTTTCCAGCTTGCCAGCTTTTGCCTTTAAGTTTTCTGGAAAACCGCAGCTTCATCGTCCTTCACCCCTCGTTTACACTAAACCCTTTTTTGTCTGCTAGTGTTGGCTTGATTAATAAATTGTGGTACCTTCTTCCCCGAAGCTCAACACCTGGGCCTCAAGTCTGCATCTAGCTGGGAACATGGCGCACATATGTTCGTGATGACTGGGCGTTGTGTTAGGGGGAAGAAGGTAGTTGGCGCAGTTGCGTTTTTCTTCCTTCTTTGTGTACAATGATCCATTTGAAGCTCAAAATTTGTCGTCTTCCAAACCCTGATGGGAACTGAATTCTCTGCTGGCCACCAGTCAGCTGTGGTCTTATGTTCTGTTTCGACCTGGTTTCAACCTGGTTTAGACCTCTGGTTTAGACCTCTGGTTTAGAAACGTGCATATCGCTGGGGTGCTTCAAAAGAATGAGACGTGCAGTGGGTGTTTGATTCAATTAGCGTTCTATTCGAAATATCGAGTAGGAAATTTCTGCTTGCAAGGGGAAGGGTGGCAATCCATTGTGCGTGCAGTTTTCAGGACTCATGCAGCTCTCCCCAGCCTCTCTCTCTCTCTCTCTCTCTCTCTCTCTCTCTCTCTCTCACACACACACACACACACACACACACACACACCAGTGAAAGTCCGGCGAAACAGTCTGGCACGGTCGTGTTTTCTTTGTGGAGTTGTCTATAGCGAATACGATGACACATACATACACACATGAAGGGCTCGCCAAGTTTTTTGGGACCATTGGGGGATTGTGTCGGTGCTTTCTTGCCGGTGGAGTCTTTTGTTTTAGTTTGTGGTTTTGGACCTGGAGCAGGGGGTCGGTGCTTTCATGCTGGTGGAGTCTTCGTCTTGGGTAAGCTGCCTTTGCCCGCCATCCCTTTATATGTGCAAGTGTGCCGCTTCGGCGGCAGATGGGTGTGTGGGCACTTGGCGCTGAACCGCACAAACTTTGGCCAACCTTGCATTTTCTTTTCTTTTTTTTTTGGAAAAAGTTCAGATTGTAGTACAGGCTGGATGCTAGGCCTCAGGAGGTGCTTGTCATTGTACTGGACCAGTGGGGAGATCAGATGGCTTGTGACAGCCCCCCAAGGACAGTCTTCTCCAGCGGGGGGCATCATTTGTGAGCTCTTTTTTTTTTTTTTGTTATCCTAATCAGATCACAAGTGGAGCCCTAGACCTAGGCCTGTCTCTAGACCTAGACCTCCACCAATCCGCTTCATCCGAGGGTCTCAGATGAGTTCCCCCTGGATGCTACCATAGGGACACCCCGGATTCTCAAGGACGGCCCGGACACAGGAGGGGTCACGGATATGTGGTAATTACTCACCTGTATCACATCTAGCAGCCTCTATGCCACCGTTCTACGATCAATGTGACGACCCATCCTCCCCTAGCTAAGATGAGACCCCTACCCAGAGACCCTTCCCCAGATTCACGGCCCAATCGATCCCCTCCATGGGAATGCAGACAGGTACCAGCCCAGATGAAGCCCAGCCTGCAGCATCGTAAGATAGACAGGACACCCGCCCTTGGCAATCGTATATGCCTAACACCCAACCCTTACAACTTACGCAAGGGGGGTGTAGAGAGCGGAGCCAGACCGGGACCATCGTACAATTGTAGGGTATGGACTCTCGCAGGCGTACCGTGAGGCCGGGAAACTACCACAGTACCCGGACACACCCATGACACACCCATGATACACCCTCAGAGCAGTGGCATGCGAATGAGGCGGCGCACAGACCGGCCAAGAATCTCTACACAAATTCCGACCTAACCCTATCCAATCTAGAACTAAGAACTCTACTCAACCTACCTCCTCCTCTACCCCGCCCATGCTGAGTACTTGACACATGACACAGAGATCACTGCACCACACACTACACACACACACACACACACACACACACACACACACACACACACACACACACACACACACACACACACACTCCGAGTCATCGGACCACCCCAAGGCCAACCACTCCCGCTATACCAGCATGCTACGACCATGGACTAAACCAATTGGGTGGTGCGCAGGCAGTGTCTGTAATGATTACCATGCGTCAGTCCAAGGGGTGTGTGTGAATGGCTTGTGCGCTGTGAAAGCGCTGCTGGTGGAACGGAGTTTTGAACCCGCAACCTCATACCATATTGCTCATTTCCAATATCTGTTTTCTTTTCCTTTTTCCTTTTTTTGTTTTTTTGTTTTTCTTTTTAAACAACAGCCCGTATGGGAGATAGGGCCGCGCTGGTACGAGCGGATGCCTCTATCTCCCCCGGTGAGGCTCCGTCTATTGGTGGGGAGCAACACCTGCGGGAAATCGGGTCCAGCGTCCCTTACACAAAAAACATTTCAATCACGCTGAGATGTTTCTGACTGTCTTCCAACCTGCCAACATTGATTAGTACCCTGAAGACGGGATTGACTGAGCAGGCTCAAATAGGGAAGAAAAAGGGCCTCTTCAGCCCTGCTGCTGGGCGTCCAAACTGTGAGACCATCTAGCCTCCGTGTCTTCGCTATAACTCTCTCCCCCTCACTCTGCTCCATACCACTGGAGATCCACCATCGACAGACCATGGGGCGGGAAGGGTCGGGGAAGTCCAAGGGGGAGCGCAGCGGTATTGCTGCATCCACCTTATTTCAGTCCTGAAAACAGATGACATAGTCTCGTCTCATATTATCCTCTCTGCATTCTAGGAGACTGCCTCCTTCCCAACGAACATACGCCACGTTCAGGAGGAACTTACAATGCAATGGCAGACAGTGAAATCTAAACTGGATCGAATTCATACCAAAAGGAGTCCTTTCAAAGGACGTAATTTCCATTATCTTCTACTATACTGTTTCTCTATTTTTTTTGTCTTATGGATGCTTTGTGATGATTCTTGGATGCAATGATAGAGAGCATTTGTTTTTGTTTTTTCAAAATTAAAGCACACAAATACATGAGTCACAACTGAGACTGACGATTCGGTGAAAGTTCAAAGAAACATCGTGGCACAGTCATGGTCATGCTTGTGTTTTGTGTGTGTCGTAAATGCCGAACACGACAGCACAGCGCCCACACACAGAAAACATGAGAACGCTTTTTTTTTTTTTTTTCAAGTCCTCTCATTGCAATGGGGCAGGAACGAAAACTCAGTAGGCGGTCCACAATGCTCCACATGAGATTATTGTTATTGCATGTACTGAACTCTTGAGTAACAGGCAACAACAAGTGCCATTTCAAGTTCTAGAGTGGTCCCATCACGTGCTGCTCCCCACGAGTAGACTGGAGCATTTGTTCAAAAAAAAAAAGAAAGAAAAAAAAAGAAAGAAAAAAAAAAGAGTGGGCCTGGTATTCCTCCCCCCTCTCATCAATGGAGGGGGAAAACAGAGCTAAAARAACTGTAAAAAAGTTTAAARAACACGTTTTTCACCAGCATGGTTCCARCAGGATKTTTTTTYAMAAAAAAAAAAAAAAAAAAAAAAAAAAAAAAAAACCTTGGATGTAATAGCCGGGCATTTCATTTGAATAGAATGCCCAGGCATTTTGGCTGGACTCAGTATTCTCTCTTTGAGAAAAATGAGACCAACATCTAAACACAGGCCTCTTCAGTTCTTCAACTCGAACATAACCCCTACGTGCTATGTTCGGGGGAAGAAGAAGAAGCTGAGGTACCAGCAGATAGGCCCAATCAAATAAACTCGCAGTCCTGCTACACGGCAATCGTGGAATTTTACAATGCGGGGCGCTTTCAAAGCTTCGCTAGGCGATAGTCAAAAGGAAAATTTGAACGAGGAGGAACTCTCGTATTTCCGCTGTAACCTGGGAAGAACGAAAAGCGTCCACTTATTGGGAGTATCATGCTTCCAGGACAGTATCGTACGAGGAGCTCTTAGAATGATCTTGCCACCTTTTTTATGTACCCCACTTTCCCTTCTTTTTTTTTTAATGCGAAATCAATTTAGAATTTGAAGTTTTTATAATTTTATAAAATTTATAAATTTTAATATTTTTTTAAATGTGATTTGCGTCTGTGCATATCAACCCCCCCAAGGTTCCTTCCCAAGGTTCCTTTTTATTAAGTTTTTAAGTTTTGAATTTCACCGGGCTCAAGCAGTCCTGTTACCTGTACACTGTACAGTGTACAGTGTATATCCTTGCAAAGGCTACGGGTAGGTCGCTTATGGATGTACCTTGATCAAGTACGGATGGTGCGAAGGGTATTCAAACTTTCTTCTTCTGGATCATCGTTGGCAAAAGAATGAAGCTTCAGAGAAATTCAGGAAATGAATCACACAGACTGCACCTTTTAGAGAAACAACAAAGAAGTTTTACAGAACAACTACCTTCTTCCTTAATGCCAACTCTGTGTAAATCTAGGCTAAGCCGCCGCCGGGGAAATCCAGGCGGCCCCCCAAAAGCCCAGCAGGGTTTCGTTTTTTGTTTGCCCAAAGGTGGGGTTTTGCTGTGCTATCCCAGAGGAACCCGAATCTGCAATAAAAACACTAAACTTTGGGGGGGGGGGGGGGGGGGGGGGGGGTCCGGGGGGTACAGGGGGTGGTTGTGGGTGGTGGTTCAGGGGGTTCCGGGGAGGGGGTTGGCATTTGATTTGGTGTCAAAGCAGGTGCATTTCGACTGCCTTGCTGGTATGTCAGAGACTTATTGCAGCAGGTCTGTATGTGGAAGACGAAGAAGGAGAAGAGGAGGAGGAGGAGGAGGAAGAAGAAGAAGAAGAAGAAGAAGAAGGGGAGGAGGAGGAAGAAAAATAAGTAGAAGAAGAAGAAGAAGAAGAAGAGTACGAGGATGACAGGACCAAAAAAAGGAAAGTAGAAAAAGAAGAAGAAGAAGAAGAAGAAGAAACGTACGAGGTTGACAAGACCAACAAAAAAAAAAAAAAAAAAAAAAAAAAACCCTGGAGAGAAAGCATATGTCCACATTGCTCCACATTGAAATCGGGCCTACTGGACCTGTTTTTTTGTTTTTTTGGCCTCTACAACCTTCTACGGGGGCAAAAACGCCCCCCGCGTCGAAAAAATCGAACACCTCCCTCTTCCTTCAATGCGCTGGGGTTTTGCCCGGTGGCCAACCGGGGGGGACAACCGGCCAGGCGGCCCGCCCCCCCGGGGCGACAACCAGGTTGCCGGGCGGCCCGGGGACCAGCCTAGGTGTAAATGTAAATCTCACATAATCTCACATTCATAAAATAGACACATGAGTGCTTGCGCTTCACAAAACTTTGCAAATTTCGTCATATTTCGTCGATGACAATAACTGAGTTCGTAAGCAGAGAGTGCCGCGTGGAGCCGTAGAAAGCCGACGGCAGCAGGATTACGTTTGTCTGCTGGCATTATAGAAACTGTTTAAAGAAGCTTAACATATTGCTGTATGCTGGCACTACAGAAACTGTTTAAAGAAGCTTACATATTGGTTAACAAACTCCCGCTGCGAGGGCACAATATGTCCAAAGCCATGGCAAACGACCTTCCTTTGCGTTTGCAAAAACAGGGCTGCAAGTCGGTCGCTTTCGGTCTCGCTGATCTGCCTATCAGAACCTTCCTGGCCTCCAAAGATATGAAGAGATGGGATGTTTATTCCCCCTTTGCTCTCAGCCCACCGTAGCAGTTGCACATGCTCCGGCGCAGGCGACAAAAACCCCGAGCAAAGGACTACGAATCGGAAATCGAATGGGGATCTCACAGCAGCGCGCTCCGACACAAGTGATCGGGTACGAAATGCACCCATATGATGATGAGGACGATTAGGGTTATGAGCGTCCGGCAGATTGAGAGAGCGAGAAGGTTCTACTACATCCAATTCAATCGCCCTCTGATCGTCAGGCGAATGGATTGCCGCAGCAAGAGAAGGACTGCCTGCGGCTGCGGTGCTCACATCTTCGACATGATGGCAAGATACGGCGGCAGCAACTGCAGACGAATGAGAGGAACAGTCCTCTGGTACTCCTCCACCTCTATCCTGCTGCTTCTGCGGCGGCCCATTGCATGGGTGGATTGTGATGTGAGCATCGGCAGCGGTACTTGTTTCCTTCGCAATGCAGTTGTTTGCAGATGAGTCTTTTCCTTCTAACCCTGGAGACGCTGACAAGTGCTTTGCTGATAGGTTCTTCCCCTGTGACTCAAGAGACTCTGGGGACAATTCAGAGAACCGGGGCCTTCTTTCACAGTCGGCGCTCGAATACTTCTGCTGCTCATTCCGCATCTGCAAAGCACACAAAACCGCAGCAACGGCAGCCCCTTGGGAAAAGCCGAGCACGCCGTCGAAAGGTCCTTTCTGCTGGCAGATGGCTGCCAAGTGTGAAAAACTCGATGACCATCCGTCTCGCTGCGACTTGTATTGTTGAGCGTCGAACTGTTTCCCCGAACCGACTGGCCCTCTCTGTGAACTCTCGCCCGTGTCGCATCCGATCAACCAGGCGTACCGAGGCTTCGGCGCCAAATGCACCACACGATCTGATCTCTTGTCAATCTCAATTCCACCATCTGTGGGGGGGTTACCCTCTACCCTTTCTGCATGTGGATTGTCATCGTTCGTAACGACTATCGGCGGTAGCTCGTGAGGAGCATCGACAAACACCATATCGACGATCGACCGCAGTTTCTTTCTCAATGCCGCGAAGCGGCCCTGAAGCGAGCTTGCGTTCTGACGGAACCCGTGCAGGCATAGGATCCGTAGGCGGTGTTGGTGTGACTCTGCGGTGGTCAACAATCTGATCCCGGTTGTCTCGTTGACCTCCCCCTCCAATTCCTTCTTATGTTCGTAGTCGTCATTGCTGTCCAATGATGCGGAACGAAAAGGAAATCCGCCTGACAATGAGGGAATCATACCGCTGTCGCCACCACAGTTTCGCAAATCTCTGACACCGTCAGTGGGGCATTCATCAGCGCCTACATTCTCCCTCTCTCTCCCATGGAGTTGTACGCCAGGCTGTCCAACATGATCACTTTGTACTGTTTTGCCGCCGGCGCAAATGGAGTTCTGTTCGGTAGCCTCCGTCATTGTATTCTCTTCGCGTTCTGTGTCGTCAAAAATCCAGGATGGAGTTGCTTCTTCTTGTTCTGCTTCCAGCCTGTCCTTTGTTGGTCCATCGCTTATAGAAGATTGATGAAACCCATCTGCACATGCAGCACGGAAAAGTTGCTTTCTGTCCTCTTTTCTTTTTCTCCTCCCTGGATTCTTCTTCTCTCTCTTCTCATCCGTTTCGTTTCGCAGAAGTGCTGACTGCACCGAGTCCGATTTACTCTTCCCCCTGCTGGGGCAGCTCCCGTTCCCCTTCTGTATTCTGCACATGGAATCTCCTTGCTGTCCCTCATGCCGCTTACTTCTACACAGCTCGCAAACAAACTTGCTTGACTTGCTGCCCTCCTCCTCTATCCGTTTCTGTAAGAGGTTTTGAAATATGTCAATTCCCAACTTTGTAAGTGGAACATCTCTCTCTCTCTCTCTCTCTCTCTCTCTCTCTCTCTCTCTCTCTCTCTCTCTCTCTCTCTCTCTCTCTCTCTCTCTCTCTCAACACACACACCCAAAGAGAAAGGAGCGTCTTCCCACCCTTGGGAACAATCTTCTCAGCATCAGAAATAACAAAAACATGCAACTGGGAATTCTTTTACGAAAACACGCCGCTGGGAAGAGAAACAAAAAAAATATATAGATCTACCCACTGGGTGAGTGGGTAGATCACCAAACAAAACATATAGAGAAAAGCAAACAGATCCAAGCACAAAGCTTTTAGTGTACTCGCAACATCTCCGACATGTTGAGAATTCAGGGTTTAGGGTTTTTTGGTTTAGAACTCGGGATTGAACGGGTGTTAATAAAGTTAATAAAGTGAATCATCAAGATTCATCATGAGAATTCAGGGTTTAGTACAGGTTTTATGGTTCAGAATTCAGCATTCAATGGGTGCTAAATTGTTAATAAATAAAGTTAAATAAACTCAATAAACTTAATCATCATTTAGCGACGAGAGGTGAATATTTAGGGTTTAGGAACTTTTTTTTTTTTTTTTTTTGAAGTTATTTTACTACTGAAGATCACTGGCAACACCGGTCAGATTCGTCAGAAGGCAAAAGTATTCAGTGATATTCACCATTCAGTGTTCATTAGGAATTGGAATTTTCAATTTAGGCATTCTCTATCCAGGCGGACAAGAAACTCTGTCTACAGAGCCTCACAGCAAAACTAGCCCGTAGTGCTAACCCTCATAGACTCTAGGAGTCTCTGAACATAACACCTCTCTCATTAGACGACAACAAAAAGAAGTTAAAAAAAAGCTACACCACAAACGAACAGCATAGTACCAGCCCACCTCTTATGAATATCCCCGAGACATAGCAATCATACGTTCAAAAATTTCAAATCCCATGCGAGTGATCGCCTTCATGTACAAATCAGAACCATTGATCCTGCAAATCATGCGCTGCGCTACATAGACCTCACACCTGCTAGCACACCCAGTGGCGAAGTTGAAGTACTCTGCCAAGCACGTGTACTCGAGACAGTTCAGGCATGATCCCTCTCATTTTCCTAAAATACTCGTTCAAATTTACCATCAGCTCTAACACCAAGAACCTCTCTCTCTCTCTCTCTGTCTCTCTCTCTCTCTCTCTCTCTCTCTCTCTCACACACACACACACACACACACACACACACACACACACACACAC